TTTTTGACGATCTGTCCTTTATCCTCTCTCAATTCTTCTCGTTATGGTCGGATAAAATTACAGTTAAGAGGAGATTGATTTTTCATGAGTTTACTTTGGATATTTTTTCTGTTTTCCTCCTTTATGTCTGATATTTGGGATGTCGGAATAATTCGTCTTTGAGTATCGCTGCTTTAATTATTTACGTTGTTATTCATCAGGTTGTCACTAGTCGTTCACCGTTTTATTTTACTTATGTGCCCTGAATATATATCCGATATTATTTTCAGTGATGTCATTTATGGCTAATGCAATCTACATACCATTCAAAAAACATATATAAAAATTATTAAGAAAATATTTTGTGTTTACATATATTTGAACCCGTTTTAGTTCATTAAGTTAAAAAAACCCCTAGTTTTCAACATCTTCAAATTTACAAAATATTTTTAGTGTAATTTTTTTATTCTTTTCTAATTTTTCATATTTTTATTTTCTAAAAAATATTTTAATTTTTTTTAGCTAAACAAGTTTTATTTTATAAGAAAATGAAAACAAGAGTGGACTTTATCTTCTGAAACTAAACAACTAAACGAAAGTCTCTAAAATTTTAAAGACATTAAGTTTATGCACTATTTTTATTTGACAATCTGTCCTTTGTCCACTCTCAATTCTTCTCGTTATGGTTGGATGAAATTGCAGTTAAGAGGAGATTGATTTTTCATGCGTTCACTTTAAATACTCTCTAAACAACTAAACCAAAGTCTCTAAAATTTTAAAGACATTAAGTTTATGCAATATTTTTATTTGTAAATTTCAAATTTTCTTTTAATTTTATATGTTATTGTTGAAAGGACAATAATAAAAGAGGTAAAATAACTTTTTAGTCTTTATATTTATAGTTTATATCAATTTGACCTTTAATCTCTAGAAATAACAATTTTCAACATAGGATTAAAAAGTTATTTTGTATTTTCAGCTGTTAGGTCAGCAATAAACTGAATAGGAATAAGCGGAGGAACTAAGATTTTCATTAAAATTAGAATTAATTGCATCATATGTATTTAATCTATAATTTTTATTTTAAATAGATCCTTAAACTTTTGAACATTTCAACTTTATCTTCAAACTATAACTCTTATTCTAAATTAGTCCTTAACCTTTTGAACATTATAATTTCATCCCTAAACTATGACACTCTTTCTAAATTAGTCCCCAGACTTTTGAATATTCAAATTTCATCCCTGAATTCATCCAAATATGTAATTAGTTTCAATCATACTTAGATCTTGTTTTTTCAAACATATAATAATATAATTTGACCTAACGATTTTATTAACAAGAGATGTGATTAATTTATACATACAACTGATGATAAAATTAGAATGTTCAAAAAGTTTGGGGATCAATTTAAAATAAAGGTTATAGTTTGGGGATAAAATTGAAATATTCAAAAGTTTAAGGACTAATTTAGAATTATAATCATAGTTTATTGATGAAATTGAAACATTTAAAAGTTTATGGACCAATTTAAAATAAGAATTATACTTTGAGGACATGTGATGCAATTAACTCTTAAAAATAATATACTAACTCAATGTTACAAAACTAAAATATAAAGATTAAATTGTAAATAGGATATAAATCTTTACCATATTTAAACCTTTTTCTAAGGTATAAGTCTTACCATATAAATCGATGTTTTATTTTTTATTTTTTATAAATGTATAAATAAAGCATAACCTAGATTAAGGAAAACTCAAGATAGAATTTTCATAAAATAAGATATAAGTCTAAAAAATCCATAGATGTCTAGATGAGAGTGTAATATAGATATTAGAGATCATAGGACCCAATATTGTATGTTTATTGTATTTGTTAAATTTGTGTGTTTATATTGGCAAAAGTGCGCAAATAATGATGTGATAAATTTTAATTCCAAAACTAATGCACTCATCTAATTAATTCTTGATATAAGGTGTTTTTATAGTGTTTTGGGATTTTTCGGCGTCTTTAGGGGTGTTGGATTGTTTCTTGGATCTCTAGGTGTCTTTAATTGAGTTTCAGAAGAAAAAAAATTGACGTTTTTACACAAATATCATCTTAAAATAAATTAATTACTTGTTAGACACTGTTTAAGAATATTTTACAAATTTAGCAAAATTTTAAATATTTTCTATAAAATTATTCTTGCATTAAATTACACAATACAATTATATCTACCAATTACCACTTGACACTTTTTGATGCGTTTTTTATCCTTTCAAAATCATATACGTATAGTATATTCTAGGAAAACTTTGAGGGTAAGTAATTTAAAATATAAATAATTTTATAAAATATTACGGATCATCATCATCATCCATCCCACCGACCCAAATGACTGTTCACACCATCCATCACATCCTATAAATACCCCACTCTCAACTATTTTCACCACACCAAATCCTCTCAAATTCTCTCAAAAACCAAATCTCATTCAAATTTTATTTATAAGGTATATTTTATTATATTTAATATTTTGTTAGTATTTTATTTAATTTTTGTATTATTTAATTTTTGTATTATTTTATTTAAATATTTATTTTTTTACAGTTATAAAATGGAAAGCGGTCCGCTTCGTTATATTTAATATTTTGTTAGTATTTTATTTAATTATTGTATTATTTAATTTTTTATTATTTTATTTAAATATTTTATTTTTTTACAGTTATAAAATGGAAAGCGGTCTGCTTCGTTATATTTAATATTTTGTTAGTATTTTATTTAATTATTGTATTATTTAATTTTTTATTATTTTATTTAAATATTTTTTTACAGTTATAAAATGGAAAGCGGTCTGCTTCGTTTGGATGAAAATATATATAAGTTAACGGAAACAATGATGTTGAATATCTGTACTGAAGCGACGACATTCTCCTAGTTGAGATGATTGCTGTGAATGTTTACGGGTTGAGAGTATATTTATAGCCGAGAAAAAGTTTAAAAGTCGAGAAATACATATATAATTATTCAAGGCACGACCCATGCACCGTGCTTATCTGGTGCGTGTGTCAAAGGGTGTTAGATCGGGAATATTATCTCGAAAGGTGTCTGAAACGTAAATATTTAAGGAAAATATGATTTTTTAGTAAAATATCCAAAAATGCACAGTAAAAAGGAAAAAATTAACTAAAATGTCGAGTAATCTATGAAAATTTTAGTCTGCCGATATATCCTGGGGTCTTTAGGTGATTATTGTAAAAAATACATTAAATAAAAAAATAATATTAAAAATACGTTAATTTGAGAATTAAACACTCCGTGTAACACTAAAGGATACTTTTGCCGTTTATATTAGATAATGGTGTGATGTTTCCACTATTGACAAGTAGTTGAGCGTGGGAACATGAAGAAAAGGGGCACTAGAATGAGTGATAATGTGTAAAAGAGCAACCGACGAACGATCGAGAGTGCCAATGGCCACGGAGAATGATTGGAGGGATCATCATCTTTATCAAAAAATGCGCACTAACTCACAAAAATCTCATCACCCTTTTTGAAAATCTTTGAGCTAAATTCAATCCAATACCCATAACCAACCGGACAACACTCTTCTACTCTCCCTTTTTTTCATCTTCGTGGTCCCATCTCCACCATTTCCATGGCCAAGCAGGCAAGCACTAGCCCCCACCATACTACTTCTCTCACTCTCTCTCCGTTTTCATGATAGGAGAGTCTTTTTCTTCTTCATCGGGTTTTTAGTTTTGTTCTTTGAGGCTACTTTTTTTTCGTGATGGGGAATTGCTTGTGTAAATGGGAGCCTTCCATTTACAAAGTTTCATCAAATCCCAAATCAGGTTTGAAATATGAATTCAGGTGTAGTCATATACTCTGTTTTCTTGTTTTTCTTTTTTGAAAACGTATGTTGGTTTTTCAGATTCATCGAAAGAGCAAGCGAAAGTAAAGAGGGAAGACAGTAAGCTGCCGTCGAATCCGGAAGAAGTAGAAGACCTCCGCGGAGGCGATTCGGCGACGAATCCATTGGTAGCATTCACATTCGAAGAGTTGAAGCTCATCACCGCGAATTTCAGGCAAGACCGGCTATTGGGTGGAGGGGGTTTCGGGAACGTTTATAAAGGCTTCATTACGGAGGACTTGAGGGAAGGTCTTCAGATTCAGTCTCTTGCAGTTGCTGTAAAAGTTCACGATGGTGATAATAGTTATCAAGGTCACCGGGAATGGCTGGTAATTTTCCTTTTTTCTCTTTTTGAGCTTATTTTCCGGGAAAATGGTATCCGATGAGTAAAAGTGCTAGTTTGTTTTGTCGAGGGTTAGGCGGAGGTGATATTTCTGGGGCAGCTTTCGCATCCGAATTTGGTGAAATTAATTGGATACTGCTGTGAAGATGATCATCGAGTGCTTATATACGAGTATATGGCTCGTGGTAGCGTCGAAAATAACCTATTTTCAAGTAAGTTTCTTCTTCCATTATCTGTTATTCGTATCAAAACAATCGCTCTATATTCCGCCTCATATAGTTCGGATACCAACAAATCCAATATTCGCAAAATCTAAATACTCACTAGTTCGAATAAACGGATACCTTTTACCCACATTTTTTAATCAAATTAACATATCAACGAGTCAAGTACCAAAGATGTAATATTTTTGAACACCCTAACCACCTAGTACCTACTCTTTAAACATTTTGCTTTTCTTTCACGTAAAGACTCCATTAATATTAATGAAGTTTATTCCTACTACCACATAGTACCTACTCTTTTTAGAATCCACTAGTTTCTTTTTCTAAAGGAAATTTTCTTTACTAGAACTTAATGAGTGGGACTACTTTAAATGTTTTATGTGTTTATAGTTTTATATATTATAATAAATTTGATAATAATATATCATTATAAAATTTTAATATTATATTCATTTTTAATAGTGTATCATCATATGTTTCATTAACAATATTTAAAATTATGTGTTATTGAGTCAATAATCTTTAGAGCAAATAGTTAAAAACTCTCGTTTGACATTTTTCTTCTTCCCTAAGTTGTGGATTCAACACCTATTATGAACAAATTCTCCTTTTCCCTAAATAGAAATTGTTCAAAAAAAAAATTATGCATCATTGATGGATCAAATATTCACCAATAATATTATATTATATTATATATACGTCATATGTTGTTAATTATATGATTGTGTCTCGTCTAAAAATTCTACATATGCATGTCATTATGTCCTCTCATGACATGTGCATTTATAATTATTATTTACGTTAGATTTTGTTAAATACACGACAATATTATTTTAGACATTTTGAACGAAAACTAAAAATGGATCCTATAAACAATATTCGCACTATCTCGTAAGATATCGTTATTCTTATTTCAAAGGGTGTAGTAATTGGAAAAAGAATCCATTGTGTCAGGAGTATTACTTCCTCTTCCGTGGTCAACTAGAATGAAAATTGCATTGGGTGCTGCCAAAGGACTGGCCTTCCTGCATGAAGCAGACAAGCCCGTGATCTTCCGCGATTTCAAGACTTCTAATATTCTACTTGACCTGGTTCATCACTTGTACCTATTCCCCTTTAATCACATCATTTTGCTTAAATTTATGGATTCCTTTACTGGTTTTGTTTCCAATCAAATAGGATTACAATGCCAAGCTCTCTGATTTTGGCTTAGCCAAAGATGGACCCGAGGGAGACAAATCTCACGTTTCCACTCGAATAATGGGTACATATGGTTATGCAGCTCCCGAGTACATCATGACCGGTATCTTCTTCGATTCTCTGTTGACTGAATCATAGGTACAGTGGTGAAGGACTTGTTTATATTTCGTTTTTATGCAGGACATTTGAGTCCTCGTAGCGATGTGTACAGCTTCGGCATTGTCCTTCTCGAACTTCTCACCGGAAGAAAATCACTCGACAAATCACGGCCGGCTCGCGAACAAAACCTCACTGATTGGGCGCTTCCTCTTCTCAAAGAGAAGAAATTGGACAACATAGTAGACCCCAGATTACAAGGAGATTTCCCCATCAAAGCCTTCCACAAAGCCGCCATGCTAGCTTATCACTGCCTCAACCGCAACCCGAAAGCGAGGCCTCTCATGCGAGACATAGTCGATTCCTTGGACCCTCTTCAGCTTTCTCCCCACCCACTTCCAACGGAAATAACTGTAATCACCGTCTCCACCGAGGTAAAGGATCAGTTGAATGTCAAGACAGTTGCAGGATTTGGTGCTCCTCTATAATAACCTTCTTGTTCCAACATACACATACACATACACATACACACACACATACACATACACATACATATATGTATATGCATATGCATATGTATATGTATATATGTATGTATATGGAGGCAGGTGGTTATTCATTTGTTGCTGACATGGATGAATGTAGTGAGCATATTGTTTGTGGGAAGCCATCTGATGGATACAATAAACTATAATTCTTTTTGATGGTTCTAAATTTCTAATTTGTTGAGTAGTAAACTGAATCAACGATCGAGGAATGTTTAACTTTAGCTCAAGAGTTGGATTTCTTGACACGAGTACTAAATACTGTTTCTAAAGATATTTCATAAAATATTTTTAACGTTGAATATACAATTATTTTCGCAAGACTCATCAGGTATAATTGCTGAAAATTATAGAACCCCTTTAATTTAAAAGATTATTTTTAAATTTTTTATTGACATTTCACCTAAAAAATTATTCATAATTTTTAAATCTCTTTTCATTTTATTCACGCGTCATAAAAATAAAAAAACTTCAAAAATAACTTTTACAAACCCATGTACGATAATCTTACATCTCACAAACCTTAATGATAATAATATTAACACCTTCATTTATTAAAATAAATAAATTCTGAATTTTATTTTCGTGACTAAAGTTTGTAAGACTGAGAGATTATAGATTATCGAAAATAATTAATCTAACAGGGAGAACCTTTCACTTGTTAATTATTTATATCAATTATCTTAATGTATTAAATCATTTCAGCGGACTATCTAAACTACATTAAAACATCTATAAATTAATAATGTTGGGGTCACGTGATTTTATTAATTTAAAGAGATATTAATTAATCGATAAATTAATAATTTAAAGAGACTTTTTTATTCAACAAACCTCTATTATTATTCATGAATAGAATATATACATTGTATTAACTAATTGAATGATGTTCATGTACAATGGATGTCAATCACCTGTTGGGTTATTCAGGTGAAAATTATACATGTTCAGAGGTTCAAAGTTTAGAAGAAATTGTAGCTAGTGTTATCAAAAAATCATATTGAAGATGAAACTGAATATGATACAATGTCTTTGCAACCAATTACGAGGAAGGAAAGTTAGAGATGAAACACAACTATATTTAAATTTTAAGAAGTAAACAACAATAAAATCATTTTTTACTAAGTTGTCCTAGTTATATTTGTAATTTTATAAAATTATTAATTTATAATATTGAAGGGACCATAAGTTTATATATGTAACACCCCTAACCCGTATCCGACCCGAATATGAGTCCGAGGTGTCACATTGACTTTTCAAACTTTGTCACTTAAAGAAAAATAGGGAAATTTTAAACTTTCATTAAAACAAAATACGTTAATTTACATAAAAGAGATCAAGAAATACAAAATCGATCAGAGCATTCGTAATTAACAACTTATTACATGCTAACACTCTATACACAACCCAAAATACCTACTTTGCCAATTACTTCTGATCTGATCTTTTAGTAGTGATGCTATTCTTGCCACTTCTAGTACTGCTCTTCTTGTTTCTTGGTACCTACGTGTAAATCACTTACACGCTAAGTCATAGACTTAGTGAGGCAATAAGTAAACATGTAGCTATAGATTCATGAATATGCATTCTTACAATTTGATCATGACATTTCAATATGCATATATATATTTCACTATAACCGATATAATCATGTCATGTACATATGAAACTTATCTTCTTGTATCACTTTCACCTTAATTTATCTTTCAATTGCCCATGTACATTATTGAGACCAGAGGTATTTGAGTACATTGAGGTTGTGCACTAATACTGTCACCACAGCTCAATAAATTCCCTCGTGGGGCACTGAACATTTGTTCAATATTTGTCCCGAAGGACCACTGGATACGTCCCGAAGGACTAATATACCCTCGACTCTTGGCATGTCAACTATACCTATAGCTCTCGTATCATATAACATGGGCTTTAATATGAATACATTTCTCATTTCATATCTCTTTCATCACTTTTCATATAAACCCATAATCTTTTCCATTATTTCATATACCTGGATTATATTCTCTGGCAATGATATTCGTTCCTTCAATGTCATATGAACATATAATGAATTATGCATGCAATCACTATTACAATAATATATGTATGCATATACATGGGTATGGAATCATTAATTCAACTATCAGAGATAGACTTATCACAAGTCTTGTCTCTATACACTTTAACTATAAAATGCACTCACCTTAGCCTTGCTTTGATTCGATTCTAATCCTTCGATTGTTCTGGAATAAGATTACGCTCTAAATCTACATAGTAATATATTGATACTTATCAGCATACGAATTGATATATTCCAAACTATTAATCCTTAGGCTAAAAGAAAGCTATTTCCATCTCTTACTACTGAAGGTATGCATCGATGCACTACATCATGTATCGATGTATCCCTTGACGGGTGCATCGATGCACTACCCATGCATCGGTGCATAAATCCTATTCAATGTTTGTATTTTAAGCAGGTGCATGCACTAATGGCATTCGATGTTCATTTATTTTAAATGAGTGCATCGATACACTCCATGTGCATCGATTCACTTTCAACAAATTCTGGGATTTTCTCTTGATGCATCGGTACACGTTGAATGTGCACCGATGCACTCTGCCCAAAATTCATTTCTTGAACCCGAAAACTTATCTATTTCAGCTTAAATCTTTCATGTTTCATCCCCTTTTATATTCTTAACTCCATTACACATACTTAAACCAATCTATACTCATTTATTTAATCTTAAACCTCATAATCCTATCCTCCTTGTGAAATCCAAGAATTATACCAACTTTGCAACATGATTTAATTCCACTTTTAACCCTTAATATATCTTAACTAGATTGATGACAAGTCAAATTTAACTTCCAATTCTAGATATGAACTCTATTCCAAGATTTCATTCAAGAACCTCTAATCTTTAATATCTTCTAACTCCATCATCCTTTGATTTTAAGATAACCTAAGATTTCCTTAAGCTTAGTTATCATCTAATAATCAAAAACCAATCTTAAATTTAACAAGAAACTCAATAATCAGAAAACTCACCTTTGTTTTGCTTTACACGTACAATGAAGAAAGAAGAAGAAAAGAACTCTGAAAGCCTTTGTGTTCTCCCCTCTTCAACCCACGTGGATACATATATAACCCTTTTTTTCTTATTTCCTTGTAAATGACCTCTTTGCCCTTCTATTCATTCTTCCTTTCAATTCAATTCTATACAATAATTTACAAATAAATCTTTATATTATTCAATCATTCTATTTTAGATCACCAAATTATGAGACTTTACAATTTAGTCACTAACCCGATATTGAGGATGTTATAAATCTCCCCCTTAAGAAAATTCATCCTCGAATTTTCATTACAAAAAGAGATAGGGGTATTTAATCCTCATGTCCTCTTCAGGCTCTCATGTTGCGTCCTCTACTTTTTGATTCCTCCACAAGACTTTAACCAATGGAATAGTCTTGTTTCTTAGTTGTTTAACCTCATGAGCTAGTATTTGAATAGGTTCCTCTTCATAAGTCAAATTTGGTTGAACCTCGATCTCTTCAGTATTCACGATATGGGATAGATCAGATCTATACTTCTGAAGCATTGAGACATGAAAGACATTGTGTATCTTTTCCATTTTAGATGGCAAAGCTAGCTGATATGCTACTGGTCCTACTCTCTTAATAATCTCATAGGGTCCAATGAACCGAGAACTCAGTTTTCCTT